GTGGGAAATAACTAATAGAATAAGTATTGGAAGAGATGTAGTAAGAGTGACTTTGTAATCATGGTACTGAAAGGAACTACTTTGAAACTGGGCAGGCTGAATGTGAGCAGTGTTTCAGTTTGGATGAAATAAAGCGATGTGATCAAGAATGTGGGCTGGGGTTCAAACCTCTGCTTGCCAGTGAATAGCTGTGTGACCTTGAGGAGGTTGCTGAATTCCTGATGGGTGGGCTAACTCACTTGGCTGGACTATGCTAACATCTGAGGTCACCAGGTAAAGTGCCCAGTCTCACGATTATGGCAGAGTGTGATACTCATGAAATGGTAGCTCTTACTGTTTACAGAGAAGATAAATTGTCTTCACTGCCTTTTATAAATTAACAAGAAGCCTTCTCATGTTTATAAGCAATTGTAGTCAGTTATCAATAAGATGTGGGTTGAATTATCTCATCAAATGGATAAAAGAATGTTATTTGGAAACCTTGAAGCATACCTGTGGAGGGAAACAGGCATTCAGGAATTCTGAAAATCCATCCATGGCATTGAGTGAAAGAGCACACCACCATTTTAGCCTGAAGGACATTCTTTGAGTGATGACAGGCATTTTGACAGTGCCCAGAGACCTACCTGACATGTTGATAAAATCATCCAGGAGGTTTTGCAAGATCTGAAATGTTGAACCTGCTACCTGAGACCTGGCCTTTATCTCATATGTGCATCTCTTTTTGGATGGAAGAGAGCAGGTGTCACCAGGTCTTGGACTCAGTGAAGCAAGGAATTTGGTTCCTGCTGTTCAGGCAACCCTGGGAACCAAATATTCCAAAAGCAACTTGTGAAGATGGGCCACAAATGGCCTATACATGATTTTAAGTTTTTTTTAAAAAATTGGTTTTGGTTGTCATTTTGGCCTTGTTGGGAATAGCTCAGGACCAAGAAGCCCTGGGCGCTCAAGGGTCTCGTTTAGCAATATTACACTGCACATTCAAATTTCCAGGCACTGAATAGCCTTCTGTGATAATCCATTTGGGAAGAAATTGATAAAAATCTGCATTCCTGCCAACAATTCACATATTAATGTGTCAGAACAAAATAGTTGTTTGTTTTTTCAAAGCTATGGAATATATAAAGAACTCTGTGAGCCCGCCCATGGTGCTGTGCTATCTGGAAAGTCCAGGCGTGGACTAGTCTTTGGAGCTCAATGTGAGTGGCCCAGCCACTCACTTCTCACATGTGGGTATGAGGTGAGACTTCAGAGCTGGGTTCATGTAACAAGCTTGCTCACAAGGTTGTCCACATCTACAGGACTTTTCTCAGCACAGTTTGCAGCCACCTCTGCATTTCAGGACCTCAAAGGACCTTATAAGTCAGCTAACTAAACCTAAATGAGTCAACTCTCTGAAAATTTCTTTTGGGGGGAGGGGAATTTTCCAAATCTAGGTCTTTTGAGGGGGGATTAATTTTTTTAAAGATTTTATTTATTTATTTTTAGAGAGGGAAGGGAGGAAGATAGAGAGAGAAAGAGAGAGAAACATCAATGTGCGGTTGCTGGGGATCATGGCCTGCAACCCAGGCATGTACCCTGACTGGGAATCAAACCTGTGACACTTTGGTTCGCAGCCCACGCTCAATCCACTGAGCTACGCCAGCCAGGGCTTAGAATTAATTTTTGAAGGAACAAACTTCACTCAAAGCCAAGTCGACTGAGTAAGGTAAATGATCAAGATGGACAAATTAAAAAGAAAGCAGGGCCATAAAATGACAGTATGCTTGGATGATCCACACAGTGATTCTGAGACATAATTCCAGAAGCTCCTGGAGAAACACACCCTGACTCTGCTGGTGTGACCACAGCTTCGGCGAGGGCAAAGAGACCAGCCTTTAAAATGTGTTTGCTCTTTGGCACAGAAATTCAGTTTCTAGGAACTTGTCATAAGGAAATTTTTGAGATGGTACACAAAGAGTTAACTGTTAGGAAGCTTGGTGCTGTGTTAATTATAGCTTAAAAATCGGAAGTGGCCTGAAGGTCCAACAGTAGGGATTGGTTAAATGTAGAAGGGCATGTGCAACCAGCGGGTGCTGGGCAGTCAGGGGAGATGATGCCACTGAAACGTTCCTCATGCTGTGGGAAACTGCTCCTGTCAACAGAAAAGGGCAGGTTATCCAACAGCAGGCAGGTGTGATCTGGGGGACAGTATGTCCATGTGGAGAGGGCGTAGAAAAGGATGTGGAAAGGCAGACAACAAGTGTGAATGGTGGGTGGGACTGTAAATATTTTTACTTTTTTTTGCTTGCCTACATATTATTATTTTTCTGTCATGAAAAACTATTTTTATAATGAAAAGATGAAAGGAAACATGAGAGGAAAAAGAGGTCCTAACATCCTTAAAGGGGAATCATAATGTACATGTACTAATTTGTTAGAGTTGCCATAACAAAGTACCACTAAAGTGTTGATGAGTGGCTTCCTGAACAGAAATTTACTGTCTCACAGACTAGAGGCTGAAAATCCAAGATCAAGTTGTCGGCAGGGTTGGCTCCTCCTGAGACTGAGAGTAGGAATGTGTTCCAGGCTTCTTTCCAGCTTCTGGTGGTTGCTGGCCATCTTTGGCATTTTGTGGCTTCTGCTGCATCACTCCAGCCTTCGCCTTCCTCTTCACACACTATTCTTGCTGTGTGTGTGTCTGTGTCCAATTTTCCCCTTTTTACAGGGACATCGGTCATACTGGATCAGGGCCAACCCTACCCTATGACTTCATCTTAATTGATTATACCTGCAGTGACTCTATTTCCCAATAAGACCACATTCTGAGATACTGGGGATTAGCACTTCAACACACAAATTGGGAGGAAGATACAGTTCAATCCCTAACAGTGCCCCAGTGAGAGAGCCACACTGCTCCTACCCAGCTGAGGTTAGTACCTACCTGCCACCACCACCTTTGCCAGCTACCATGTAGTCTGAGCGTGGACCAAGGTCAGGAGTGTGAGAGGGCTGGGCACTGAGATCCCTGGGGACTCCAGGTTCATAGAGAGAGATAGTGGTGAAAATAGAAATCCTGAGCATGGCCCCTCCCTGTCTCTGAGTACCCAGGCCAGCACTGCAGACCTGAGGGACATCTAAACTAGAGAGACCAGAACAGAGATCTGAAAGGATGAATAGTCTAAAGAAAAAGAAAAGGACATACTGTTACTTTGGGTTGAATATAGAGTTGTGATTTAAAAAATAGAAAGACCAAGAGAGAAGGGAGAAAAATATAATACTACACAAAAATATGCACACAGATATTTTATATCAGCTTTATTCATAATCACCAAAAACTTGGCAGCAACTAAGATGTCCCTCAATAGATAATGCATAAACAAACTGTGGTACATCCATATAATGAAATGGTATTCAGCGATTAAAAGAGATGAGGTATCAAGCCATGAAAAGACATGGAGGAACCTTAAATTCACATTGCTAAGTGAAAGAAGTCAATCTGAAAAGTCTACATACTGTATGATTCCAATTGTATGACATTCTGGAAAAGACAGCTGTAGAGACCGTTAAAAAAAATCAGTGGTTAAGGATCAGTGCTTAAGGGGGGCAGGGAGTATACGGAAGAGGGATGAACAGGTGGAACACCAGAACTTTTCAGGCCAGCGAAAGCATTCTGTGTGACATTGTAGTGGCGGACACATGACATTGCACATTTGTCAAAACCCATAGATTGTACAACACAAAGAGTGAGCCCTAATATCAACTGGGGGCTTTAGTTATTGCTAATATATCAGTATTGGCTCCTCACTTGTAACAAGTGCATTGTGCTAATGCAGGTTGTTAATAATAGGGGACACTGTGTTGGGGTGGTGGAAGGGTGTATACAAACTCTGTACTCCCTCCTCCATTTTTCTGTAGACCTAAAACTCCTCTCAAAAAAAAAAAAATAAAGTCTATTAACTTAAAAGCCAAAAAGTATATTATGAATAAAGAAATGAGAAAGAGATCATGCTCTTAGTCAGCTACCCAAAAGGGATCCTTTGCAGATAAAAGTCTGGGCAATTCCAAGAGTTAGCTCTTTTTCAAAGGCAGTTGAGAAGATATAGACGACCAAAGGGTGACCCAGCAGGATCTCCCAGGTTCAAACACCCCTGGCTGCTCACACCTATCTCAGATGCAGCAAAGCCCTTCTGATGGAGCTTGAAAGTGGTGGGGTGTGGGGGAGGGAAAAAGAAGAACCAAATTCTTATTTAAAGAAATAACAGTTTGGAACATGCACAGGAGTGTCAACAAGTTATGTAGATCTTATCAGCATTGCATTTTTGGTGCCTCCCAGCTATCCAACAAAGCTCCACCAGCCTGTCAACATCCTTCAGCGTCCCACGCATCTTGGGCATATGAACACCTTGGGAGGCTCCGCCATGGCCAGACCTGCCTCCCCAGGGCCCCAGGAGAAGGGAGAAGATTCAAGATACCATCACACCATCCATTCCATATGTCTTCATTTCACTGCTCACATTCTGTGACTTGGTTGGGGCCCACTGTCTATAAATTTAAACAATACCTTTATGCTAACTTTGGAAAGACTACCCAAGTTGGAAAAATCTGATGCTCTCACATCTAAAGGAGAAGAATGTGTAGTTTCAGTAAAGTAAGGAGAAATTAGGCAAAGTCATCATAATAATATGTTATGTTTATAGAGGTGTTTCTACAATACATTTTCAGATAAAACATTGTGATTTTTACAAAACTATTGATAAGGGATAAGGCATGAGACTTGTGGAGATTCCTTTTACCACCTTCCCCAGCACACACCAAAAAGAAAGCTCTCATAGTATATACATTGCTTGTGATACTCCAGGCTTTCAAATGTAATATTGCTAAGTGATGCAAAAAAAATATTTATTTAGACTAATGAAAATGATAGCCTTTACTAAATATGTCAGACTTCTTTTACCTGTTTACTACATTAAAGTCAGTGAATGGATCTTCTTGTTAGTTTGTGTTTGTTTTCATTGTAGGCAGCTTTAAGTGCCTTGAAACAATTTTCTGAGCAAGGACTGGATCCAATGGAAGGGGCAATGAATATTGAAAAAGGTTCTCTTGAAAAGTGAGTAATTCCTCTGTTGTATTCTTACATTTATAATTTTGTCACTGTATAAAAAATAAATATAGATCATAGTAAGGTAAAAACTCAAGATGCTAATATCTATATCTTATAAAATTATTCATAACACAATTAAATGTAAATAAATGAGAATGACTATATATAGTCATATTCATTTCCTACAGTATGACTGTGAAAGTTTTCATCTAATTGATCATTATTTCTGCATTTTAATGCCTTTGTTGGAAATATTTATGTGTTTTGTTGACTGAGGAGACTTGTAAAACTAACAAATTTTCGTGTTCACTTCACATTGTTGAGCATTTTCTGAATTAAAAATGTTGACTCACATTCCTGCTAAGTTGTAGGCACAGTAGAGAGAAAGACAAAAGAGTCGAGAGGCAACTCCTTCCCCTCGGCTGCATTTGGTTTTCACATTGTCATATGAAACATAAGCACAAGTTGCCACAGAAGTGTGGCTCCCAAGGGCTTCACAGGCAAAAATGTAGTTCTAATAAGTATTTCTAAAATCCAGCTTATAGCTTTTTTTAATGATATTGAACATAAGGTCTTATCTGAGACTGAATTTTAGGTTTCTCCAGAGACCAAATTTATAGTAAAGAAATTGAATGCAATTATATTTGCATGGTGGAATCCAAACTCTTTCAGAGCAGCAATAATAGCAGGTGAGATTTCAGAACACACACAGGAGGCAAGATTTTTAGAATGAAAAAATACATATATAACCCGGAACACAAAAAGCAGATATACTAACCCTACAGTTAAAGAAGCATATACCCCAAGCCAGCCTCTGGTCATTAATGTATAAAAGGTGAGAGTGCGGGAAGGAAACATTTGGTAAACAGACACGGCATTTTAAGTTGTCTATAGATTGACAACCATTTATAAGCTAATTTAATCAAAACCATTTCCACATGATCTCATCAGTAGACTATCTGAACATAAATATTGTTGTTTCACTTTAAAATGTCACTTTGGTGCTGACCTTTGAATCCTGTGTGCCATCTGCTAATAAACATGTCGAAGATGTGCAACCCTGGACCCTCAGCTCTTGTTAATGTATTAATCTTCCAGACAAGTCCAGCATCTGGGAGAGAAAGCGGACAATAACCAGACACACCCAGGCTCCGCCGCTCAGGACTGCAAGAAATCAAAGTCCGGCATCTAGCAGCTCCCAGAACCACGCTGCCACCGCATCCTTATAAACCTGTCAGCACGCATGAGGGTGTCTGTGTTCAAGGAAATGAATGACTAATACCATTATTTGAGTCTTATGTGAAGACAACACTATTCTAACACAGGAGATAATACACATAGTACTGTTTATTCAACTGGGGAAAAATAAAACTTGGCGCATTTCCTTTGGAACTTGAGATCAGATCATAACTCACTTGTCCAGAGGCAGCAGAAATCTGATCCTGCTACTGGAGCTTAAAATAACAGTTAATGAAAAGTGTTAGAAACAGAGGTAAAGCTTTTAAATGATCAGTAGAGAAATTTGGTTTGTTTCCGTTGTTACGATTGTTTCATTGTGGCACTTGTGTTCAGTTATATTCTCTCTCGTTTTAAATAATGCTTGATGATTCAAAAATTAACCAATGACGTGCTGTGGAATGTGATGGTTGTTGTCTTCATATAGAGTCACACAGTTTCTCTTTTTATGCAGATATTTGTAATCTTCATTCTATATAAACATGAATAACATTAAGGCACACTACTCAAAGATGTATGCAAACAAACATGGTTTAAATCAGGTCAGATATTTAATTAAAACTGTGAAATAATGTTAGGAACAACTAGTTTCAATATACTCCAGGAATTTAAAAAACAAATCACTTGTGCATTTTGAGCTCCGTAATACTCTTAGCCACCAAGGAGGCGTCTTGCCTCTACAAACCATTTCTCTGGGTTCCACATCCTGTGGCAGAAATCGCACTTACCCCCATTCATGTCTTGTAGCCACTCACTGTTTGCATCAAGAGTGTTTTTAATAACTGCCTCTGGACTTGGGACAGTGAGGAGGATCAACATAAATAGTGTCCCTGGGTGGGCAAGGGAGAGCCTGTTGGAGGAGCCGTCAAAGTCTTGCCAGCTTGTAGCCTGCCACGCTTGGGACCAGCATGTTGGAATCCGGCGTGTAGCAAATGCAGTAAAAATTTGGTCGGTTTCTGTGTGAAGTGTGGTTACTGTCGTTCTTTCATTCCCTTAAGAATCACCTCAGTGAAGCCCATCCCAAAGGCCACCACCCAGCCTAGTCATCCTGCTCAGCAGTGGCACTAGAGGACGTACATCCCTGTCACTAGCTGTCTGTATCTGCGAAACTGCAGAGCCACCTCCTGGGTGACGCAGAGCCGGGTTCCTGACCAGCTCACGTCATCTCATTGTTCAGGCTTTCTCCTTATTGATTTGCAGACATTGTGAAATGAGAAAACACTATACGGTCTAACTACTCGACCCAACATGACAATAGGAATATAATTATGTGAGATTTCACAAGCAAAACCACCACAAATCGATCTGGCTGACTCACACGCAACAGAAGATAAACAAACAGCAACATAAGGAAATAACTCCAGGGTTGTTTATAATGGTTCCCATGTGGGGAAGTCCACCAGTTTTGGGAGGGCTGGTGCCCTTGGAGGAAATAGGTTCGGTTACCTAAAGCTTGGGCCTTGTGGAAATAACAGCACGTTTGTGAAGCTGGGGTTCACAAAGCTAAGACAGGTTGAACAGTGCATCCTGCTGCCTAGCACAAGGGCTCAGAGGGCCCTAACTCATTCCCTTGTGGGACAGACCCTTTTTCTCCTAAGACTTCAGATGGGCTGAGAACAGGCCTGTAGACAGCACCACTCCAGGCAGGGTCATTAAAGTGGGTCTTCAGTTTACCAAAACAGTAAACAAAGACCACCTTCCACAGCCCAGAGTCCAGACAACACCAACATGGCCCAAACAGGGCTGTGAGAGAACAGTGAGTGCAGGGAATGAACAAAGCTAATCAGTTCTCACAAGTATCTGAAGCATTTAACTCTGAGCTAAGTGACTCGAGTCATCCTCCGAGCTGATGCATCCCTAACAGAGTGGGGGGTAGGGACAGCAGGGACTGTAAATTTGCAAAGGATCTTGAGTTTAGGGCCAAGATATTTATTCCAAATTCCATCCCATCTACCTGCCTCAAGACCCTAGGAAGCCTTCCCCTATTTCCCGGGAACAGCAACCCTTCTTTGAATCTTGGGTTCCCTTTGGGCTGAATTAGCAATGCAAATGACGGGTGGCCTGCCGTCCCTCCTGGGGACCTGCTGTGCCACTCTGTTCCAAAGCGCAATGTTATACATCATTAGAGGGGAAACCATTAAGTAGATTTATTGAAAGAATGTTTCTTCAGCACAGGGAGATCTTTTTGATGAAAAATGGAACTCATTATTCTTTAAAGGACACAGATTGACTTATCTCCTTTATCAATTACAGTGTCTGCTTTCAGCTTTTCTCAATCAACACTGGGCTTTGTAGTCACTTCCCAGAGCTGAGGCCAATGTGTTTTAGGAAGAAGGTTGGTTTTTTACATTTTAATTGGAAATATAATAATGTACTTTGAAACTCTGATCATCCCTTTCCTGGACAACTTGCCAAATATCACTGGTGAGACACCACTGATCAGGCTGTGATAAGGATGTCCTTCCCCTTTCCTGGGGTGACCTCTCTGAGTTGTTCTAGCCCTCTCCACAGCAAACATTCTCAACAGTGGGGCTTTTTTGACAGCTTCAACCAATTTTCTGCTCCATAAAATAAAAATAGATTAATGAGAAACTTAAATTATTATACAAAGGTTTTCAGAACTCCTAATGACCTTGGAAATGTGGTACAGTTCAATTGATGTGTATTTAAAGTCTACTGCTCATAAGTTATCATTGCACCTGCCCAGAGTGTGTCCTGTACCTTTTAATTTACAAAAGTCACTTGTTATCATATGACCAAGAATGGTAGAAAACCTAACAGTTCTGCACACAGAGCTGATAAGTCACTAATGGCAAAATCATGTGAGAATTTGTTTTTGAGTTTCCCCTAACCCCACCATGATATAGGTATCTGATACATGTATAAGTGATGCATTAAATAAATGGGCAAATGAACAATCTATCAAAGGGATAGATAAACCTGCGGAAGACATAAATTTTAAGTAAGTCTCACTGCTTACAAGACATAGAGATAATGTATGATATTATGATATCATGATAATATATGGCATTACTGTTGAACCTTTAACCTCAGGGGGACTGTGGCATTTCTTAATAAAAAATATGGCAAGCCCCCCAAAAAAAACTAATTTCAGAGGACTGTGGACTCATGCTGGCCCACTATCCTGCCCCTCATCTTCCCATTCCTGCATTTACATCCCTTCCCTGGGCAGCAGATTGAATTCCAATCCCCACCCCCAGATACATTCCTGTATTTCCACAATCACAGATGCATGTCTTCACGAGGAGGGATATCTGGTTCAAAGCAAAGACTTCCTTAGACTCAGGCAAACCCAACTGTCTATTTCTGGCAGATACCATCCAAGCTCCATCTCACTTTGCCAAGACTAATTTAAACTTACCTCATTGGGGAAGCCTTCCTCTTATGTTCTAATTTCTTAGCTAAAAGCTCTCTTGACTGAATCCCCAGCACACTCTGATGTATGCTGGGAATGCAGAAAATAAATAAACAAATGAAACTACTTCACCTTAAAGAGCCCACATTCTAGCTAGAGGGAAAGACAGACAAGGAAATGGGTACAGAGAACTGAGCATTGTGAGTTCAGAACCACTGCGTCGTAGCTTGTTTACCTGCTTGTCTTTCTGTTGTCACTGTTCATCCCCTCACTCATCTTACAATGCTCAGTGCTTTGGGCATTGTGCTATATTCTGGTGACTCTGTCAAGAAGCCACCATCTGCTTTCCCTCTAGTAGTCTAACTTATCTTACTTCCACATACCCCAAATATCC